GGCCTCCTCCAACGACTTCGCTGCCTCTGCCAATCGTCGTGCTTTTGGCTTCGTTTGCGCTGGCGTTGCCGACGACCTCGCTGCCTTTCCTAGAGCTGAAGCCGCTCTTCCAGCTGCTTGACGATCCCGACCTTGTCCGAGGTCGCTAGCTGCATGGTGCCAAGCGTGGAGGTGACCGTCTTCAGGGGCATCGCGAATTGCTCCGCGTCTTTCTTCTGCTGGCCGATGGCGTTCTTGCCGCCCTCGGCCCCCGGGTCGTAGCTTATGTTGTGGTAGCTCGCGTCCTGGCCCTTGTAATTGTCGCCGTAGTCCGCTGCACCCGTGTGCTTCCAGCCCTTTGGACGGGTGATACGACATCCGCACTTGCACCACTAGTCGTTCTCGTAGAACTGCCTGATCCAATACCACTCCTGGCAGCGCTTGCACCTGCTCCAGTCGTCCTGCAGCTTCGGCGCCATGCTGCCGTAGTGGGAGTCGAACAGCGGTCGAAGGCGTTCAGCTCGAAGCCACCTGCGGACCTGGCCTCGCGCCCGTCTGAGGCGCCTATGCCAGCCGGGAGAGGGATGCCTCTTCAGACCTCGGCGGCCCTCCGTGGGCCTGGGGGCTCCCGATGGCGCGGGCCCCGCGGCTCCGCCCGCGGGCAAATTCGCTGCGCGGGGGCGGCGGGGTGGGGCCACGCTGGGGAGCCACCTCGGCGGAGGAGGAGGAGGAAGAGAAGGAAGGAGGAGGAGGAGGAGGAAGAGGAGGCTGATGAGGGGGTGAAGTCGAAGAGGGGCCAGAAAAACGGCGGGAACGGGGGTGTCACTGCGGCAGGCGTATCCAGATCAAGGCCCTCCCGGTCGGGATTCCGGGGAGCGATGTTGTGGATAGGATGCGTTCTGCGCGTGGGATCCATGAACAAACGCCCCGTAGCCATAGAGTCGCAGCCTAGGGGCCCGACCTACCCATGCCATGAGGGGAGGAGGGCAGCAGCAGCACTGGAACCACTGGTTGCGGGCAGCGGGGGGGAGAGGGATTGACAGAGGGCGAAGGCGAAGGAGGTGCTGACCTGGGCGGAGGACGGAGGGAGAGGTGTACGAGGGTGAGGAGGGTGCCGAGCAGGAAAGCCGACGAGCGCGCGATCGCTTCCGTATCTTTGCATCAGCTGCCTCACGGAGGGGGCGCCCCTCGAGATATCCCGGGGCGCCCCCACTGCTACGTGCCAGCTCGCCCCTCGAGCAGCATGATGCCACTGGGGGCTCGGGATTCCACCCTGGGCCTCCAGAAGGCCCCCGGGGGTCTCTGCGCGAGGGGGACCTTCGGGGATCTCCGCGGACCTCCAGAGGACCTCTGCCTGCCCTCCCATGCCCGCCCACGCTCCTTGCCGCTGCCTCTCCTATCCACCGCAGGTTCTGTCCTCACATTCTTTATACTCCCCACTTTCTTAACCCTCGGGACCTCAAATCCCACTCCGCGCCACCGTTGACCTCTCGATGATTTCCCCCCCCCTACGTAAACACGTCTAAAGGCCTCCTCTTCCTCCAGGTCCTCCTCCTGCGCCTGCCCCCATCCCCTCCGTAGGCAAGTACATGCGAACCCTTCTCCTGCAGGTCAGGCTTCGGAAGAAAAAAAGCTGGGATCAGAGTTTAACTGATTTCTGCAGCCAGGTGAACCCCAGCAGGGAGGGGTGTCCGATGCCCCAGCCTCGATTGGTCCAACAAGTCGCGAACAACAACAAATCCGCTGACCCCCTTGGCTAGCCCAGCCGGCTTGAAGTGGGGGGGTCTGACGGTCTGGCAGGATTCGCCAGATTCCACCCGGGGGGGGGGTCATTTGCATCAGAAGTGCCCCTGGACGGCCTCAGACTGCCTCGACATGCCAAAAGAGGCCCCATGATGGCCCAGGATGGCCTCCACGTGGCTCCGAATGTCCCCAAGACGCCCCATGATGGCCTGAAGACAACCCAAGACGCCTCCAAGACACGGCCCAAATGGCTCCACGATGTCTGAAAAGAACGCCCTCAGAAACGTAGATCGTCCCAACCCATGAGGACAACGTGCATGTTTAGCATCGGCGCCTTCTTGGTCTTAACAACGCCCGCGCTACCCAAGTGGCCCCCGCAAGAGCCCCAAGGCGGCCAATGAAGCTCCCAAGAGTGCCCCGAGACGGCCCAAGAAGGCTCCAAAATGGCCGAAAGGCCCCCAAGACGGTCTTCAAGAAGCTCCCAAAACTGTCGCCGTGAGCGCCAGGCGGCTCCAGCCCTAGACGCCCCCAAGAGGCCTTCAAACAACGCCCAAGAGGCCCAAACATGCCTCCAAACCCCAAGAGGCCTCTGTAGAACTTCCAGAGGAAGGGGAGAAACGCGCACGAAACCGGACAGCCTGTCCCTTGAACGCGGCCGACGTTCCCCTGGCTACTGTCTGGACCTTTCCTCGATTCCACGAAGAGAGCAAAAGAAAGAACGCTGCGGGCGCCCACGCCGCGCAGAAATCAACCGAGCCCTTCGGGTCTCCAAGCGCGTGACATTACTTCCCCATACACCCTGGATGTCCGTGCTCTTGCTGTCTTGGACTTCGAACAGCCAGTTCGCCTTCGACGACCTTGCGAAAGTATGACCAAGGGGTCGGCGGTGCGGCGTCACACTTTGGAGGAAGAACGACGGGCCTTTGCTGGCCACGGCGGGCTTCAGCTTCGAATAGGTCCCCCGACCCATACCAAAGGAACTGCCTGAAAACAAGAGTCCCTCCTGAGTCCAATGTGGTCCTCATTTCAGCATGCTGACTGCACTAGCATCTTCATTCTCCACTTTCCTCTCCTCCTTCTCCCATGGCAGGGGGAGACCTGAAGAGGGAGTGGCGACGGCAAAGACAGACGGCGAGGCAGGCGCGAGATGACCGCAGCGCAATCCACAATCTCGATCGAGTCCATATCCAGCGACTTGAGTTCCTCCACCACTGCCTCGACCTCTGGGGGGTGGGGGGTCCGGCTACATCCAGGAGGGAGGAGGAAGGGGGGACGTATGGGAATACTGCTAGGATGCTACCGCCTGGCCATTTGGGATTGGAGATACGAATATTAGCAGCGTCGCTGAAGCCTCCCTGATTACCCTGTCCCGAGAGACCGGGTTTGACTTTGGAAGCCCTTCTTGAGGTGGGTGCCTGCCTGAACCTTTATTCGGGAAGAGAAAAGGAGAAAACGCAACATGAGGGAAGGGGAGGGGAGGAGGATGCTCAGGAGGCGTGGGGGGGAGGGACGAAGTGGGGGAGGAAGAGGCAGACAAGGGGTCCTGAGGAATTGTGTTTTTTTCCAGCGGGTTTCAACCACCGTCAACTGGCCAACAGATGGGGTGCCTTACAAAGAGCCCAGTCGTGGCGAGACACAGGCTCAACCAACAAAAAATGACAAACGCGTTGAAGGTTCGAGCGGACTATAGCCTTCACTAGAACTGCAACACAGTCGCGTTTGGGGTGGAGGCCTGTATGGATCCTAGACCAGGCCCACGCGTCGAACTTTCCAGCCAGGGGGGGGGTACCAGGAGGGGGCTTGAAGCCATCCCACGGACGACGGATCTGAAAACACTTTGACAACGCTGAGAATTCTCGACACGGAATCAAAGCGTGCCCCGCGGACGACTCCGGGTGGCTACGTCCTGAGGATGGAGGGACGACTGAGGAAGATGACGGTCGGGGATCTAGACCCGGATCATTCCAAACACGGGTCAGTCGGGCCTTGCGAAGGATCCTGCAGGATCCTGCACCGAAGCCCGGGTCAGTGCACCCCTGGCCCATGGCCCTGCAGGATCCTTCAAGCTCCGCGCTCTGACTGACCCCCGTTTGCACTGGCCCCAAACTCATGAGCCCCGAGAGGGGAGTCGAACAGGAGGACCGGGGTGGGGAGGAGCGGCTGCGGAAGCGGAAGAAAGGGCAGGGTGCCGAGGAGGAGGGCGGAGCAGGCCGCGGAGGCGCGAGGCGAGCGCGCCCACAGTGCCTCATAAGGAGGTCAGCGGCGGGGTCGCAGCCCCCCTCAGAAGCCGTCTGTCCAGTATCTCTGGCACTGTGTGGGCAGGCCGGCAGGAGGAAGAAGAGATGGATGATGGGGGCGATGGGTGGAGGGGAGGCGTCAAAGGAGGGCCACTCGAGGCAACGACGCCCTCCTGGAGGTCTCTCGTCGCCACGGCTGGATCCGCCTCGGAAAACGCGCCAGGATGGACCCAAGAGGAGGGGTCCGGGGACTGGTTCTGAGCGCATGTGGGTCGGGCGGGACAGCCTCCGTTGTCTAAACTGGCCCTCCTCAGAGGGAAGGGGGAGGGGAGAGGGGAATGAGGAACACGGGTGGAAGAGGAATGTCCTGGTCGACACAGTCTGCGTGGCACAGGGCATTACTACAGAGCTCCACGGGTCATCCGATGACTTGGTCTTGCCGAGGGCGACTGAAGGCGGCTTCCAAAACAAGTAACACTCGGCATTCGTGGCCAGGAAATAACGCCCGCTGGATGCGCAGCCAACTGTCGAGCCCGCACACAGCGTAAGCTGCGAGGAGGGGGGGAGGACGAGAGGGGAAGTGGAGGATGAGGAGGGGTCCCTCCCTGGCGCTCCCTCTCCTCCCGCTCCTGCTCCTGCTCCTGCGCCTGCTCCTGCTCCTGCTCCTCCTCCTCCTCCTCCTCCTCGCCCTGTCCCCCTCGCGATCTTCCTCTCCCCAGCCACCCCCCCTTGCCATCCACTCCACTCCCCCTTCCTGGGCGGGCACAAGACACCGACCCCGCTACTCCACTGACCTCTACTATGGTGCGCTCTGACCAGAACTGCGAGGAGAAGCTAACCGTGGCGACGCAGGCCCTGCAGGAGCAGCGGCCCTGATATCCCCCTGCTCCTCGGACTCTCTCACCCCCCCCTCCAAGAAGTGCCCCATCACCCCCCCAATGCCCTGAGGTTGAACGTTTGGGGGGGGCGGGCTCAGGGGGGAAGCATCGACCTGGAATCGGCGATGCATCGCCAATAAATCGGCATGATTTTCTGGGCGGGAAGTGGGCTGTCGGGCCCCATCGGAAATCAGTCGTCGATTGGGCGTCGATGCATCCCCCCCGAGCCTGTCCCCCGCTAGCGCTACCCCTGAACCAGCCCTCCCCAGCCCTTCCCCCATCCACTCCCCTCGCCCTCCCCCCTCCCTCCACCAACTCCTCAATCCTCCTCCGCCTCCACCAGCCCGGCGACGACCACCACCTCCACGACCACGGCAACGGTGGCGGCCAATCGACGACGACGGCGACGACACGGAATGCCGATAACCGACTGCGGCGGCCCGCGGCTGCCTTCTCCTGCATCAGAACCAGGTCGTCGTGCATCTCCTGCCAGCCGTACTCGCCCGCGGGTGCAGCGGCGCCTCCCGGCACCTCGCGGCGCGCGGTGGTCGTCGTCGCAACCGCCACCGCCGTGATCGGTTCCTCGTCCTGCTGCAGCTGATGCTTCCCCTCGGGCGCAAACTCACGTGGATTAAGGATGTGTGGATCTCACGCGCAGTCGCCAGATCCAAGGATCGGGGAGCGTGCCCGTCGAAACATGAGGCCAACGCCGCCTGACCTGGCGACAGAACGCGCTAATTACGGAAACGGAACCCGTTGCAAATCTGCGCGCGGAAACAGAACCCGTCGCAAATCTGCGCGCCTCTGTCCATGTCTGCGCTTCCTTGATCCCCTCGCCCCTCGAGTGCTGACAGCGGCGCAGCTGGCAACACCTAGGGCAGCGAAGTCTACTCAGATAGGATCCACGTAGCACTGGCCTCCGTCCCGCTGGACCTCTCAGAAGCCGACGAACGTGGCAACAAATGCGCAATTGGCAACACTCAGTGAGCGCGAGGTCTGCCAGGAGCTCACGAAACTGGCGACCCAACACCAAGCGATGGCAAGCTCCTCAGCTCAGCCCCGCACTCCGCTGGATCACACAGGGGAACATTAACTTTACACCAATTGCGCAGCTGGCACAATTAGCAAAGACAACGCGAGGTTACGTTTGGACCTGCGTAGCCCTGAACTCCGCTGGACTTCCAGGCGGCCAGCGAAACTGGCGACAATTGCGCAATGAACAACGCCAATGGAAGGCGAAGACCCGCGGGCAATCGGGGGTCCATGCATTCCCCCCTGAGCCTATCCCCCTACTTGCTCTTCGGTCTGGATCGAAGAGACCCGGTGATGTGTCTTCGTATGCGCGGCCCCAGGGGTCCCGACACCTTCCCCAGGCGCGTCTTTCGCACTGGACCCCCGAAAGCGAGCCCGAGAGGCCGAGATCGATGAAAATGCCCACTTGGGGGCGGCCAAGAGGGGGGTGTCCAAGAGGTGGGTGGGCGCCAATCATGGCCGGCGACACGTGCGCGCCCGGGGGGGGGGGGCCAGGGACGTGTTGAAATAAGAAGATGCGCCATGAAATCTGGGGAGATGCCATGGCCCCCGCCATGAGTTCCACCCCCCCCGGGCCATCACCCCTATCTTTGCCGTCCCCGGCCCAGGCTTGAAAGCTCATGTCGCTGGAGCTATGGGGCCGCAGCCGCCGTCGATGCCAGCAGGGGCGCCGAACAGGGCACGAAGAGGGGCCACAGGCAGCCTCCCCTTGGCTTATGGCGGGCCCGTCCCTCTACAGGAAGAATATTCGAGAACAGTAAAACAATACTCTGGGGACAATTTTTGACAATGTTTTGAATATTGTAGAATCTGTTCTTGAGTATTTATGACTTTTCGTCCAAGGTCGGCCTGTAGGGGGACAGGCCCGGCTGAACCCTTGCTCCAGATTGGTCCCCCTGTCGGCATTTTGGCCAGAGTGGTTGTCTCGGGGGGAACGAAAAGGGGGGATAGCAGAGGGTGGGGTAGATCATCAACTCGCGTAATTAGCTGGTTTTCCCAGCGCCTCCCGGCGCTGGGAGGCGCCCGTGTATCGAGGAATGGGCCCGGCGGCGGGGCCGAAACCGGCTGCATGCAGCAGATTTCGCCCCCCCCCCCCCCCCCCCCCTTTCCCTATCCCTCCCCTTTCGTTCGGCCCGATTGGTCCCCATGTCGGCGTTTTGGCCAGAGTGGTTTTCGGGTGATGAGACTCGGGCCCCCGGCGGCCGAGTGGGGGCGACTCGGGACCCCCAAGAAAGCCTGCGGGCGAGACGCACCTGTTGGAAGACCCCCCGAATCTGGGAAACCGCCGACGAGCGACGAAAACGCGCAAACACCCATGACATCGAGCCAGATGTTCGTCAGTCCTGGCATCGTGAAGGGGCCGTGGGACACACACACACACACACATAAATACACACAAGTAAAAGGATTCCCCATATTTTCCTACATTTTCTGGGTTTTCGTCTTCCCCCTCACTTCCCATGTTTTCGCATATCTTCCTGGGAGTCGAGGATTACTTGTGTCTGTGTGTTTTTGGCCCTCCTGACATCAGCCCGCCAAGGCTCGTCGAGGACCCGCCCCCCCCCCGGCGGCGGAGGCCTCCTCCCGCGGCTCCGAGGCGGGAGGCTTGCCCGCAAGCGCCCCGTTGATCTTCTCGTAGAGGTCCTGCTTGGCGTCCTGGGCCCGCGGATGCCGGGGGCGTCCGCACACGGAGGCGGCGAAGAGGGAGGGCGCAAACCGTGGCCCGAGGCACGTGGGGGGAAGGGGGTTGGGGGCGGGAAACGCACTGGAATAAAAAGGGGGCCATGAAATCAGAGTCGGCCTGATGGTCCTTTCCGGTTGAGTCGTCGTGGTCGTCGTGGTCGTGGTCGTGTTCGTGGTCGTGGTCGTGGTCGTCGTCGTCGTCGACGACGTCGTCGTCGTCGACGTCGTCGTCGTCGTTGCTGTCGCCGCTCTCTGATCTCCTTTGCCCCTGGGTGTTCCTCCTCAAACGTTCCAACCACAAGGTAATCGAGCAACGCGGTCATCGAGCCAGAAGGAAAACCCTGCCCTTTCACCCCACCCCCTCTGGGGAGCGGGGGGGCATCCTGGGGAACAGGGTCGGCGGCGCCGATAGCAAAACCTTCGCGATAACAAGGGGCAATGGATTCCGGGGCGGCCTGATGGCCCGGCCATGATCACCGCCCCCCCCTTGTCGTGGCCCCCCTCTCGGCCGCTCCCGTTTTTCTGTTTGACATCACCTGGCTCGCCGTCAAAGGCGGCCAAGCTCCAGCATCGAGAAACTGAATCCAACCGCGGCGACGGCAGCGACAGTTCGCCCTGTCGCGCCGACCCCGTGGCTGACGACCCCCGCGTGTTATGCGGCTGACGAACGCAGAAGACGCCAGGAAGGCAGCGCCCGCGCGCCCCCTCCCTTTCTTGCCAACGCTTCGCGAGCCGAGTGAGCTGCGCGAGGCAAGCCGTCGCGAGGAACGAGAGGGGCAAGGGGGGGACCTAGAACCCAGACGGACCGTGGACCTCCCCAAACCAAGCGGGGCTACCCCTCCCAGTAAAATGCGCCGACCGCAGACGGTAAGAATCCCCCCCCCGCGTGAAAACTACGAGCCAGGGACTCTTACGCTTGGACATGCAACGCAAGAAAAAGGCGCAAGATGTTCGAGAGTGGGTGGCGAGCTTTTTCGTCGTCGTCGGAGTCAGAATCGTCGTCGTCGTCGTCGTGCACCGTGCGTCGCGTATCGTGCGTCGTGCTTCGCGCGTCGGCGGCAACGTCGTCGTCGTCGTCAATCCCGGGGGGGGGGACGCTTCCATCCGGCGCAGTGCGAAGCGCTGCCTCGGATAACTTTCGATTGGGGCTGCTTCAGCCGTCGTGCCAAAGCCAACGCCCTTGGGCCGATGGCCCTGGATCGCAGTTGAAGGCGGCCAGGTTCCAACATTCAGAGGTTGAAGCCAACCGTGGCGATGGTAGCGACTCGGGGATCTTCGGACCTGGGTCAATCCAGACCCAAGTCAATGAGGCCTTGCAGAATCCTGCAGGATCCTGCGCCCAAGGCCGGGTCAATGCGAAGGATCCGGCAAGATCCTGCAGGATCCTGCGCCCAAGCCTGGGTCAATGCGACCCTGGCCCTGCAGGATCCTGCCAAGATCTCGCGCTCTGGCAGACCCTCATTTGCCTAGACCCCCGTCTCTTGAGCCCCGAGCGACAAGTTGCCCTATCTCACCGGCCTTTCGGCTGAAGGCTCCCTTCTGCTATGCGGCTGACGAGCAGAGAAAACGCGAGAGAGGCAGCGCGCACGCGGCGTTCCCCCTTATTGCCAACGATTTGCGAGCCAAGGAAGCTGCGGGGGGCGAACCATCGGTCCTCAATCCTCGGGGTAAACGAAGCGGAAAGGTCAGGTCAACTCAGGAAGTCCTCGAAAACTTCTCTGAAAGAAGACTACCGGGGGGTGAGGCACTTGGATCCCGGTCCGACAAGAAAAAAAGGAACGGGAGAACAAGAGGGACACTGGACCTGCCAAAACCCAGCGGGGTAGAGTGCGCCGCCTACAAAGGGTGACCCACAGATCGGAGTAGATCTGCACAATTGCCCTCTTCCGAACCGGGGACCCCGACACCCGGACATCCGACGCCGTGGCAAGAGGAACAACGCAGCGAAAAACACGGCCGAAGCTCCCCCCCCGAAAAAATATCACCCCCTCTTGACCGCCCTCAGAACCGACCATCTCACCGATCATGGCGGGGCCGATCCTTCGAATGTCAGAAGCAGCATCAGTGCCACGCCAGTTGGATGACCCCATCGGCGTGATGCTGCCTAGGATAAGCCAGGCTTCTGTGCAAGAAGCGGCTGAGAGAGGCACGCACAAGTGGAAAGACGATGCGCGTGTCATTGGCACGTGCTCTTTCTCCTTGCCGAAGCCTGGGACCAATATGGGTGTCTACGCGTCCCTGGCCACGCCAGGATTGCGTATACGACGGTCTTGGGCCCAGGAGGTGCCCAGCCAGGATCAATGGGGTGGTTAGCTGACGCCGCCCAACTGGCTGGCGGCACGCGTGAAATGAGACGAAATCAGGATGACAACAAATCCAGATGTTGGCACCGGGTGCATTCGTCTTTAACTCTCCCAACAGTTACATCGATCGAGTGCGGGGTGCTCGAAAAAGTGGCTCTCGCCTTCGCGCCACGCACATTTGTCGTACACGTTTCGGGTGAGGTGCGTATTCCTCGTCTTCAGCACTTGCGATGAACACGGGCGGCCCCAGTTCAACAGTTTGATATTGTTACGCACGCCCTCACGCATTCGGACAAGGAGTGTTCCGTTGTGCGACCACTGCACGGATGGAGGGTCATCGCATTTCAGGGTGGCACTCTCGCTTGAGAACTGCTGACGACCGATGGACACCGCCACGAACTTTCGATCAGACCTCTTGGCGCTTCTCAGCGCACAGCTCCAACGCCCTTACCACATTCGCCTCCCGCCTGCATGGCAGGCCTGCGGGCCTTCCCGCATCGGAGCGAGACGCTTGTAGGAGCGTGTGAGTGGGGGATCTGCGACAAGAGGGTGTGTGTGTATCACAGTAGCGTTGACGCATCCTGGGTTTAATTACTCTGGCCCCTCTTCCTCCTCCTCCTCCTCCTCCTCCTTCTTCCGCGCGCGGGAGGATAGAGAGAAGATAACAGGCTGAGAAGGCACAAGAGGATGAGGAGGATGTTGACAGGGAGTAAGCAGAACCCTCCCAATGCGGATCCCTGCAGGAGTCCATCCTGGCCAATTTTCGGGCCGCGTCCAGCCGTGGCGACGAGAACCTCCAGAAGTAGGAGACGACGGCATTTCAGAATGAGTCCACAGACCCGTCCCGGGCGGGGTCCAGACGCACCAGACTTCCGAGCTGCGCCCAGCCGTGGCGACGCAAGGGCCCGCCGAAGGCCAACTGCTGCTGTCTCAACTCGCCCTTCTCTGACAGAAACTCGCCGGAGAGCGAGGGGGGGAAGTGAGAAGGGGCGGGCCTTTTCAGAAGGCTCGGACGTCCCTGGGCCTTCTGAGAAGTTCGTTTAAAGCTTCACCGAAGACAGACAACCACTGCTCAGCAGGTGCGAGGGCTCCTGAGAAGCCCCGCCGCCTTCTGAGAAGGCCTTTTCCTTCTCACTTCCCCCCTCGCCCGCCGCCGAGAAACGCCACAGACCATCAGGCTGACAACGCTCACCACGGCCATGACGGCGCTGCGGTGACCCGGCGCCTCCAGCAGCGGCTGCGCCTTCGGAGGCAGATCGTCCAGCGTCATGGGGTCGATCTGCACCAGGGCGGCGCAGATGGGCGTGAGGTTGCCCTTGCGCCCGATGGGTCAGGGCGGCGGAGGCGACGACGACGACGGGGGGAGAGAGGGGCGCATGGGGAAGGAAGAGGGGGACTACGCAGGCTAGGTGCGCTCGCGCCACGTTTGACATCCCAGCCCTCCCACCCATCCATTCCCATTGCGCTGTCGTTTTATAGATTCGCCGACAGGTGCCATAACGGACCTGGAACCTCTCGAATGATCTCATCGTTTCATGCGTAATCGGAAAGGGGACCTGGTACATTGAAGGAGGAGGAGGAAAAGGTTGTGGATGAGAAGGAGGATGAGCAGGAGGAAATGGATGAAGATGGAGGAGGAGGAGGAGGAGGAACATCAGCAGCAGGAGCAGGAGCGGGAGAAACAGCAGGACCAGGGAAGACGGATGAGAAAATTGAGGGGGGGGCGACAACGACGAAGGATTCGGATCTAGAGATGTGGCCCGCTCTTGGGCCAGAGCGTCACTCTGAACGACGGGATCAAAGCGCCAATTCCAAAAGGAGGCCAACGCTACAGCGGGAACACCATTTTGAAACACCGAGCGAGCCGTATGAGAAACACTTGTGTGAACTCCCATGCGTAAGGCATGTATGTGGGAGCAACGCTGCCCCGCTTGGCCAGGATGCGAGGCGAGAGGAGAGTAGTAGTCCTAACATGGAACAACTGTTGAAGGGGGGGAGGAAGAGGAGGAGGAAGAAGGGATGGGGCCCGGGGAGGAAATTTTGGTGGAGGGGGGTATGCTAGCTCGATTTGCCAACATGTGGCCGAAGGGAAGGGGGTACACCCCGCACCCGCCACACAACCACCCGCCCCCACGGGAGGCCCAGAGGCGGATGGCGATGACAACGAACGTTAGGGGGGAAACATTGACCTGAGATCGGCGATTCCTCACTGAAAGATCGGCGATAGGACTCCGATAGCGAAGCCGCACGTTCCTGGGCGGGGTGGGCTGTGAAGCCCGTATCGGCGATTCATGGGCGATGGAGGGTCGATGCACCCCTAGCTGAGCCTCCCCCGCCCAACGATGCCCCCTTGGTTTTGGGGAACATGACTCGGCTCTACGGCTCGTTCGGGACGATTCTGGCACCCTGGAACGCTCTTGACGAGGCGCAGCTGATGGACCCCGCGGCTCAAGTCTTCCCAAACCTTCAGAAAACTGTCGAAACCTCTCCCTTCCATTTTCCCTCGTGAGCCTACCCTGGCACAAACCAGTATGAACAGAAACTTTGCTAGGATCTGCGTCGGGCCCCCCCTTCCTGCCACGCGCGGCGCGCCAAGGGCGGAAAAGACGCAGGCAGGAGGGTCCAGCGCCAATCCGAGAAATCTGCGCGGACTTCCGAAAGATGATGCGTATCCCGCGTTTTCTTCTTCGATTCCCGAGCCCCCCCTGAGCCCAAGCCCCCTCCGAATCAACGTTGCAGACGAAGCCAGAACAAGGATATTAACGGACCGACATAGGTCGGGAATCTCTGAGACCCGGCGGCTCTAGAGGATGCAGAAGGCGCCGCGGAACTCTCACTTCTCAGAAAGCTCCTGAACGCTCTGAGAGCGTTTTGATACTCTGGAACGGATTCACCCTTGTCCCAGCCCCGCTTGAACTGCGAGGCGGGAATTTATCCATATCCGCCGCCTGGGAGCCGACGCCCTGGTGGCCCAGCGGGCGGCGGATGTGGATACATTCTGGCCGCCGAGGGCACGAATATTATCCACACCCGACCGCCCGCGGAGGTCCGCGAGGATCGATCCCCCAGGCGGTGAATATCGATAAGCCCCCGCCTTGCCCTTGGACAACAGCGTTTTGATACTCTGGGACGGATTTTCCCTTGTCCCCGCCCCGCCGGAACGTTGCCCCTGGACGACAGCGCCGACGGCCGCGGCGGCAGGCGCGGCCGCGGCGCCAGCGGGGTGCCTTCTCCAGGTCGAGCAGCCCGCGCGTGAAGGCCGCGGCCGTCATCTGGACGCGCCCCTCGTCGGAACTGTAGACCTGGAGACGGGGCGCGGCGAAGCCAAGACGAGGACACACTGGGACGAATGCCTGAGCTGCGGTCCAATCGCCAGATCGGATCGGAACGGGGACGAACCGGAGCGTCAAGGAATCGCGCAGAATCGACGTGAAATCGGATCGCCGCGCCCGGCTTCGGCTGGCGCTGGCCGGTGCTGGGTGATCCTGTCCGAATCGAATTCCCCCAGGAGGGTCTTCAATAAACCAGCTCTTTAAAATGGGAACTTGTGTTTTCTCTGCGCGGGCTGATTGACGGATTTTCCTCTCCCCGTGCCCACAGCGGGGCCTCGGGGCCTGTCCGCTGCTCCGTCGCCCGCAACGCGCCGGGGTTGGCGCGCACGCTGCGCAGAGCAGGGGAAGCTGCAGGGGGCCGAGGAAGGGAAGGTGGAGGGAAGGGACGGAGGGAAGGGGGGAGAAGCCAAGAGCAGTACCGATCTGACCACCGCGGCGTCACGACGGCGTCGTATGAGCGATTGTCAACAGGGCTGCGCGGTGAGCGGCGAAACAAATCAAGGCGAACGAGCCGGAGGGCAGGAAAACGGTGGGTGGATGTTGCCGCCCAGTAGAAATATCAACCGTGGGCGCCCAATCCAGTTTTCGAAACGCAGGGCGTCAAGCGTGTCTTCTCTCATGGTGGTTTGCCGGACTGGGCCCGAAGGCGCAGTGTTCATTAAATTGTGATATGTACTCATTTTTGGTTGGAAGTCCATGTTGCTGAGAAGAGACGCCCACGTGGATGCTCCCGCGGATTCGACGCTCTGGCTCGCCAGCTCGAAGACGGGAGCACGTGTGCTTGCCCTGTTCACATGTGTCGCTGTCATGTGCCAAATTATGTGGATATCCTTCTGCTGCACTGCGTCGGTCTGCCTGGTAGCGGCTTGCGTGGAATCAGCAGTGGCAAGTCCGCGCAAGAACTGCGCTCGAATTGTCGCGAAAAGGGCGGGAATTCGAAAGCGAGCGGGGCAATCGCTGTAGATGGTGTAGAGCCTGTGGAATGCGGCGAGTACTTGCGCTATTCGTGCATTGGCTTCTTTGGCGGCGTTTCCCCAACAATTTATCACGCAACCCAATCGCTTGACTTCAGGATTCATATTCACGGGGTCGCCGTTCGCAAAATAGATAGTTGGGGGAATCGCCCTGTGTGTATCACTTCGCATTTGCTCCCGTTGAGGCGCTTTCTCCAATGATAGTTTGCAACAACTTGTTAGTGGCCCCTGTGCTTTGCGACGTGCAATTGTCATTCGTCCGCGTACAAAACTGCGTCGAAGCTCGCGACGGGCAAGCGCCGCAGGCTGAGCTGGCGGCCAATTCTGCTCTGGTCATCATGAAACAGAGCGGCCCTGATCAACCAACTGATGTGTTGCCAAAGTTGGAAGCGTGAATGAGGAGAGAGATGGCATTCATGCCTGATGCGGGTCTGCTCTTCATACCGCGACGACTGCGTTCCTTCCATTTCGACCTTGAACGGCGCGACCCGGTAGATGCTCTGCGCAGCTTTACCTAGCTCAGGGTGAACGGCGCGACCCGGTAGATGCTTTGCGCAGCTTTACCTAGCTCAGGGTGCACATTCATACGACCAATAGCTTTCCAATTCCCCTAGCGCGTGGCCTTATCGAAATACACTTCCAAGTCGAACAGCACCGCCAATACCTGCCGGTCAGCAGCATGCATCGGTCATCTCTGCGAATCGCCTCGCGCCGTGCATGGCGCACGATGTGATCGCGAGAGTCTGCGTGTTCTTACAATACTACATGAGGGATTGTGACATAGAGTGCATGGACGCTGTTGAGTCGTGGGGTGACCCCCTTCTTGAAGATGAGCGCTACTCGGGCCTGAGCGACGTCGGAAGGCACTGCCTCGGCATGCCACCACTCATTGAGCACGTCTACGACGCTGGACAAGCTGGCGACGTCTAGGTCCATCCAGGCGTTCGCGGGGACGCCATCGAGCCCCGGGGCCCTTCGTCTCTCGCATTTCGCCAGAGCCGAACGCGCCTCTGCTGGGCTCAAACCCCCAGCGCTGCAAAGCAGGAATTTCTGCGACATCTAAGGGCGCGGCAGTGCCCTGTCGGGGCGGCCCCGGCCACCCGTCACTGCTTGTTTGCCAAATGCTTCCCGGCACCTGCTGCCGGCTGGCACTTTGGAACGTATTTGCCAAAGCTGCATGGTTTGGCCATGTAGCCTTTCTGCCTTTCTGTAACTGTCGAATGCCTAGCCGCGCGCCCTGGGCGTCTAAATCCTTGAACCAAACTTTACTGATACACTCTCGGTTGTCTCGTTTGTCACGCTTCACTTCCAAAATTCGGACGCGAGCAGACTGCGCGCGCGCATGCCCAGGTCGAGCAGAGCCAGCCGCAGAAATCTCCTCGCGCTCTGGCTTGCGCGGCGCGCTGGGGCCCCCGCGGCGGAGCTCCCGCCCCCGCCGGAGCTGCATGGACAATCGCCAAGTCGTTCTCGCTGGTTGCTGTCGTCAATTGCCATGCTGCGCGTTCGTTGACCGCGGTGGCCTGCTCTTGCGCGCAGGGTGCATGCCCCGGGCGGGGCGCGTTCGAATTCCACCTCTGGGGCGCGCGCAGCGGGTGGCCTGGGGCGCCCCGTGGTCCGAGCGGACGTTCGCGAGTGGGACGGCTTCGCAATCGGTGACTGGTCGTCTCCATCTCCAGGATATAATCGGATGCTTCGCGCCACTGGCGGGTGCGCGGGTTACTAAACGTGGGGCGCGTCTCTCTGTGCGCGGCCCATTGCCATGGCCGTTTGCGACATTGTGCGCGGGTAAGAATGAGATTGTGGCCGCGGCAGAAGCTAGGGGGGCACTGCCGGTGGCGCGCCGTTGCTGGGCCGCGCTGGATTGAATCGACGCGCCTTGGATTGACCGCGTGCTAGCCCACAACTTTTCATTCGGTGCCACCCATAGCAATGCGCATCCAAGAGCCGAAATATAAAAAATAAAGTCGGACTTTGTCCCCCCCCCTTTTTTTGTGTGTTTCTCTCTCTCTCTCTCTCTCTCTCTCTCTCTCTCTCTCTCTCTCTCTCCCTCTCTCTCTCTGTTTGTTCTCTCTCACTCTATATATATTTTTTTGTCTCTGTCTCTCTCTCTCTCTCGTATATGTATATTTTTGTTTCTCTCTCTCTCTCTCTCTCTCTCCTCTCTCTCTCTCTCTCTCTTCCTTTTCTCTCTCTCTCTCTCTCTCTCTCTCTCTCTCTCTCTCTCTCTCTCTTTCCTCTCTCTCTCTCTATATATATGCATTCTCCACGTGCAAGATGGGCCACCATAATAATAATAATAATAAAAAGTCGCCCCGCCCCCGGTCACGCGGCAGTCGGTGCGCAGACGCCAGTGAGCGTGAGTTGCGCGGCCTGTTGACCTTGCTCCAGCATTATGGTTCGGTCTGGTACTGGGGCTGCATCGTTTGCGCACGTGGCGCGTTGCTGTCGCGTGCAACGCCCGCGCCCGCGAGGAAATCGCGCGCCTGCGTCGCGCCTTCGCTGGCAACATACCATATGTAATCCCTGTGGGTCATCCGTGAATTAGCTCGCGACTGCGCTGGGCGGGAGGGGCATCTATGCGTGTCTGTTTCGTCGATTGTTCGATTTCGTTCCCTCTGCCTGGCTGCGCCAATCCTTGGGCGCCAGCTGCAGCGGCGCGCGGCCAATGCCCGACGGGCAGCGCGCGCGCCGCCAACACTCCGCGCAAGAGCGGCGGACAAATGCTGGGGCGTTGTCCGATCCTGTCGGCGCGACAAACGCACAACTGATTTACTCTCTCTGCGTCGATGTGACATGCGCGCTATGCGTCGCTTTTTCAGCGCGCGCGGGCTCTCGCGGGCGCGCGACCGGAAGGCTCCGCAATCCGCGCTCCGCGTTGCGACTGTGGCCGCGTTCGGCATCGAGGGGGTCGCCCCCCCCCCCCCCCCCTCGCGCCGCGCGCGGCGATATTGCGAAATAAATGGAGTAGAATACTAGGGGGCCAAGAGTTGAGACAAAAGCATTGACGGAGATTTACTTCGGCGGTCTCAGCGCCGCACAGGGCTCGCTCCGCCCTGCTGTCTAGCCAGGCCCGCGGAAGACCCTGGGCACCCCCGACTACTTCGCCTTGGCGACGGGCGGAGGGGGGGCAGCGCGAACAGGCGAAGAGAAATGGCGGGGGGGGCTAGGGGAGAGCGGGGGCGCCGAACTTTGACCAGACCGGCGCGCGCCTGTCAGCGCGCGCCGCGCGGGGGCTTGCCCTCGGCAGTCAACGGCGCTTCCCTGGAAGGTAAACTCCACGTCGAAGAAAGGGGGGCCCTGGAGCCAGCTGGTTCTCCAGGAAAGCCACCGGCGTCTTAACGTCGACGCCCGCGTCGTTGGCGTCGCGCGCGCGCGCTCCTGGCGCGGCATCGCTAGCGTCGAAGGTGCCCGCGATCGCGGTGGAATCCTCGACCATGGCGCTGAAGCTCGGGTTCCGCGCGCTGCGCGCCCCCTCGGTCTTGGCGCGCGCGCGGTCAAAGACCGCCTGCTGCAGGCCGGAGTAACAAGCCTGCGGGATGGTGGCTACAAGTTGTTTGTTCATCTGGCCGCCAGCGATCCCGACCTTCATGTCGGTGCCCTTGGCGAGGTCGCGCAGCTTGTCCTGGAGACTGCGGCTCACGCCCCACAGTTTGGGCTCCGCGGGAACGAAGCTGCCCCTGGTCCACCCATTCGAAAAATCATTCGGACCGAGCTTCTTGACGACGCTCTCGGCCTCGTCGAAGAGGTGCTTGACTCCGCGCTCCCGCGGCAGGAGGAGCAAAACTCCAGCGTGGGCACTGTGAAGAGTCTGCAACACTCCGTGTAGGCCCCGCGCCTGGATGTGCAAGCTGTTCGCGAGGATCTCCATCTCGGCGATGGGGTCTTCTTGGAAGCGCATGTCCTCGGCTGGCCTGGTCGCCTTGCCTGCGCCGGTGTCGGTTCCTTTGGCGTCGCACTTGCGGTCGTCCTTGCCGCCCGCGGGTCCTCCGCGAATGTCAGCGTTGCTGGCCGTGTCAAGTGGGCTGCGCGTCAACCTGTCGAAATGGTGTGTTCCAGTTTCGTCTCCCGAATCCAATGCCTCAATGAGGCGTTCTGGTGCGACATTCATGTCCTGAGCGTGCTTAACCACGTTTTCGAGCGCATGCTTGCGCCCAGGGTGTGTCGTCAAGTCCAAGAAATTCATAGGGGTAGTCAGTGCCGTTTTGTTCGTGCGCCTGGCGTGCCACCACCATCTGCGTGAGCCGTTGTTTCTTCGGCGTGCAGGCCGCCATCGTAAGAAACACAACGTGATAATGGGGCGGAACGCAAAATAGGGTGGGGTGCTGCTGCATGTCGGAACCACCAAAGCTTGATTGACGGACTGGGACCGACAGCAGTATTGGGAAAATAATTCGTCCACAGCGGCGGCCATTGCTTGGGTTTGTATAGTTTCCTGAGGGTTCCTAGAAAGGTTCCTGAAGAGTTCCTAAGAGCCCCCGGAATACATGAAGATTCCTATGGTACCCTAGAGATTCGTAGGATTATTAGGGTCCCTTCCCAACACGAAGACGACGACAACTATCACGACGACGACGACCAGGACACTGCGCCGAATCGATTGGAGATGCAGCGGACTATATTAAAAGAAACTGAAAATTCCTCTGTCGTGCAAGGTAGACCGGGAAGCAATTTCCTCCGGGAAATATAACCATTCAGCGACAACGAGCATGCGAACACTAGTGGGCAAACAATTTTTCGCGCGTGGCACACACCGACCAGACTCACCATAAGTATGGCAAGCTCTTACTGCGCACGACTATGTGCGCGACCCTCATTTAAGACGACAGCGATCGCGGCGACGGCGACGACGAAGACGACGCGTCGATTCGATTGGAGATGCAGCAGATGTGTTCTTCCAACTATCCTGCGATTCGAAGCAAAAACAAAACACAACAAAAACCCAGATGCAAACAACAGTCAGAACCTAATACCGCGAAGATGAGAAGGAGTCCTGATGAACGGGCTCCTGAAAGGAAGGGGGGATCTCAGGAATCTTCAGAGAGTCCCTCGGACTCCCTTAGGATTCCTAGAATCCTAGAAAAGGGGAACGAGAGGAGGAGGGCGAGCAGGGAGAGCGAGGAGGGCGACGAGGGGAAGGGCGAGGAGAGGAAGGACGAGGGGGAGGGCGAGCAGGGAGGGGAGCACGAGGAGGAGGGCGAGCGAGGAAGACGAGGAGGGGAGGGACGATGAGGGGGAGGACGAGGACATTGCCAGCCGAGAGCATTGGGGGGGGGGGGGGCGTGCAGCATCAGAGGCCCTCCGCGGTTAGCATGGGGGAAGAAGCGGGTCCTGAGGGAAAAAGGGGCCTGGACCCTGGTTCCCCCTCCTCCTCCTCCTCCTCCTCGTCCTCCTCCTCCAGCTCCTCCTCCTCCTCCTCCAGGTCGTGTTCTGACAGTCCTGGGGGCCCGTGGAGGGCTCGAAAACGGCCAAGCACCTCAAGACTCTTTTCCCTCAAGACCCGTGCCCCCCATGGCGACGGATCGAAGCGCATCGGAATGGCGGCCCGGCTGGCGAATCGGACCGCATTGATCGAGTCGGATCGTAGCCGGCCCTGGGAGGCTGGGGCCACTGCAGGGCGTCACCCTACTTTCCATTTCCCTCCGCCTCCTCCTCCCAGTTGCGGTCGGCCCGCGGAGAACCAGCAGGGCGGGGCTTCTAGTCGGAAGAAGAAGGGGTATCCCAGTCAAGCGAAAGGCTCGCGAATCAGTTCGCGCGGTCCAGCAGTGGGACGAAGGGACGGAATACTGAAGGGGGCTTCGCGACTCAGCTCGTGCGGCTTGCTTCCCCAGCGCCTCCCGGCGCCAGGGGCGTCAACGTAAAAAACGCGCCCGAAGGCGGGGCCGAACAGAAACAACAGCACGTGGCAAGTTTCGCATCTCCCCTTCGCGTGTCCCATCTTCGTCCGACCCGAAGGGGTGGGGTGGGAGGTCGGGAATGGGGGAAAGGATGGAGGGGGGAAGACGGGATGGGGGAGGGAAAGAGGACCTCGAAGAAGACGACATGGAGGATGGGGGAGGAAGCGAAGGCGGTGGAAACACACGGAGGGTGAGGAGGGGAGGAGTATGAGGCGGCGGAGGAAGAAGACGATTTGTTCGGTGCAGCGGAGTACGACCACCTGACCGCTCAAGATTAAACCATACAGATCCACCAGTTGACTTCGAACCACCCAGCAGAGAAATTAAAATAGCCATTATCAGAGAGATGAGGCAAGGAGGGTGATGATGCGGAGGAATATGAGAAGAGGGGATGAAGGGGGGCTAAGGGGTGGCCAAAAGCACGGGCTGGGGGTTGCCACACATGATCCTGAGACAAGGTGCCGTCTGCTCTTTGCGCAATGTTGGTGCTCTGTGGCCCTGTGTGCTCGCGAGGATGCACGAGTCGAGCCAAATTGAAAACATGAGGCACGGACTTCTACCGGCCAAGCCGAAGTGGAGCGAGGCACGAAATAGCGAGCCGGTACCGACCGCCCAGACCGATCCCATGACCACATATTTCACATCATCAGATCTAAGCGAACCGCCCCGAAATCTCCCGACGCCTCACCGACGCGGAGGAAAGACGAAGTGGCACAGGCATGTAGGGCGGGAGGGAAAAGGAGGCAGGGCAGGGAAACAAAACGGGAAGAAGTGCGGGCAGCCCCCCTCGGCTCTTCCCCAAGCGTCCTCCAGCTTAGCCGCGCAAATCCTCCCCTGCGCTTCCTCGGTCTCCGCCCCTTTCCGGCAGCCCGCAAATCCGCCAATCTCCGCCCCCTCGCAACCTCCGCCCCGACGGGCCCTCCCCACGCTCCAGAGCGCTGGAGGTCAGAGGAAAGACCCTGACAACAAGCGGGGCCCTTTGGTGAACGCTCCGGACTCCTGGGCTGAGTCGAGCAGGGCGCGTCTGGGTGTGGCGTTCCTCCCCTCGGCTCTCGCCACCGCCGCACCCAGAAGGGTGGCCTTGAAGTCGTGGCGCTGGGTCGCGTGCAGGCGCAGGAGGCCTGACCCCACCCTCGCGCCCAGCCGTCTCCCTGTCCTCGCCCTGCTCCTCCTCCTCCAGGTCCCACATCTGCTGCTGCCGCTGGCACTGGTCCTCCTCCTCCTCCTCCTCCTCCTCCTCCTCCTCCTCCTCCTCCTCCTACTGGTCTATCCTACTGGTCTCTCCTGCTGGTCCCTCCTCTCGCTCCTCCAGGTGTTCCTTCTCGCCTTCCTCATCGTCATCCTCCCTCGTGCTTTTCATCCTCCTGGCTGCTGCTGAGTATGATTCATCCTCCCTGGCTGCCGCTGCTGCTGACCCTTCTGCTGGCTGCTGCTCCACCTCCCCAGGCATGAGGGTGCAAACCCGACTGGTCTGGCTGCTCCTCCAGGGGCGAATGGCTGTTCCCAGGGGAGGCTGCAGCATCGCCCAACGATGCGCTGCGAAACGGCCGAGCCTGCAGGATGGGCCCTCCCCGTGCCTTTGCACTCTGACGCTGTTGTCGCACGTCGAAGCGCCGGGCCAGCGCACCCGAGCCGGCTTTCGGTTCGCACGGGAGCTCCCTCCCTCCATCCCCTCCCCGTTTCTCATCGTCTTCGCCCCCCCCTTCCCCCATGTATTCCTAATCAACCTCCTCCAGCTACCACTTCTGCTCCTCCCACTGCCTCCTTCATACGCGTGCATCTCGTCTCTGCCACAGCCATCCTTCCCCTTCCCTTTCTCCTTCACAGCATCATCCACCTCCTCCTCCCTCCTCCCCCTTGGTCCTCCTCACCCTCCTCATCCTCGTCCCCCTACTCGTCCTCCTTCTCCTCCTCCTCCTCCTCCTCCTCCTCCTCTTTCGCCTCCCACCCCTCGTCAAAGCCCTCCTCATCCTCCTCCTCACCTGTCCGCTTCACGCGCCTCCTACCTCGCCTCCACCCCAACCCTGCTTCGCTTATTCACGCGCCCCCCATCCGTCGCCGTACCGTCCTCGTCCTCGTCCTCGTCCTCCTCCACCTCCTTCTTCTGCTCCTCGCCCTTCTAAATCCTCAAACTGACTCCTTTTCTCGCATCGTCCTCCTGCTACTCGATGTTGCTACTTCTTCGCCTCCCTTCTCCTCCTGATCCTGCAGCTGGTTACGTATGATGTTCACCCTGCTCGCTGTCATCTCGCCGAGTTCTCCTCCCGTCCCCTCCTTGTCGCCACCCTCCACCTCCTGCCCGTCTTCCCCGTGTTCCTCCCTTCTGCATGTCCTCCTCCTCCTCCTCCTCCTCCTCCTCCTGCTTCATCCTCATACGTACTGATCATCCTCCTCCTCGCCCCTCTGTATCGCCTCCACCTCCTGCTCCTGCTCGTCGTCCTTATCCATCCATCCTGCTGCCGCTGATCCCTCACTTCCGCATCCGTCGTGACCTGTTTTCATTATTGCGCCTTGTCCTCAATCCCCTCGCTGTTTCTCCACCTCCTCCTCCTCCTCTTCCCACACCTCCTCCACCTCCTCCTCCTCATCCTCCTGCTGATCCCCCTCTCCCTCCTTCTCCCTCCCTCACTCCTCCATTTGCCAGTTGGCCTTCAGCTGCCCGATCCTGAACTCTGCTGCTGCTGATGCTTCATCCGACGCCGCTCGTTTCTCCCGATCAAGGTTCCTGTACCTACCTTCTCTACATGATGGCCCTCGTCCACCTCGACATCCTGATCCTCCGGATCCTGCCACTCCATGTCATCCTCCTCTTCCTCCTCCTTCTTTTACCTTTGCTCCCCCTCCTACTACTCGTCTTCCCCAACTGCTCATCTAAACCTTCCTCCCCGTCCCCCCCATACGACTCTCGCCTCGCCGTCCTCCCCCCCGCCTCCCTCTTCTCCCCCACCTCCCTCCCCCGCAATCATCCCGCGCCACCCGCGATCGGGAGAATGAGGGGGAACCATGAGGAGGCGGAGGAAGACGACGACCACGAGCAAGAAGTGGAGGGCGAGGATAATGACGATGAAAGCGAAGACGACGAAAGCGGCCGCGGCGCTGACGGCGACGACGGCAACGACGGCGGCGGCGGCGGTGACGACGACAATGACGAGGACGACGAGGACGGCGGCGACGACGATGACTCCTCGTCGCCGATGACGATGGCGTCGACGACGCCAGCGCCACCAGCGATGACGCAGCGGGCCCCCGTCGTAAAAGACGACCGCCGGCGGCGTCGGCGGCATCCCCATCCCCGGCGGGGGCGCCGTTGGAGTGCACGCCCGAGCCCCCGCGGCTCTCGGCCGCCGCCGCGCAGTTGCCCGGGTACATCTCGCCTGGGGAGAAAGGCGCCGCCGCGCCGCCGCCGCCGCGCGGAGTGGAGGGCTCTCTGGCGGGCCCGCGCCCGAGGGGGGCCAGGAGGCAACTCCTGGGAGGGCGCAGTGGGACGCCTAGGGTTCAAAGGCGGCTTGGTTGACTTCATGAGCCGTTCGTTTCGCCCCCTTTGCCTTTCTCTCCGGAGCGAGCGCCAGTCCTGACAATCGTCAGGCAGCGAGCGACCCGTGGCCAGAGCGTGCAGCGGAACGCCAGATGCACGACGTCGGCGGGCGATAGCTAGCTGGCCAGCCTCCGTGCGGTGTGGAAGGCTGGCTACGCCTTCCTCCCATTTGCGCGTAGCACAAAACGATCTCTGGAACGAAATCCGATCCAGGGGGCTCAGGATGGTGCCCTTCGGCCCCACAACGCTAACAATGAATTGGAACATCCAGAATGTCTGCGGCGCTTGTTCCAAAATTGGTGGGGAATGGAAGCTCTTTGTAACAAACAACCGTATGGCCGGCGCCCCCGAAGCCGCGATCCCCTGTAAAGACCTCAAGATCCGCGGACCCCCCCCGCGGTAACGACACGATTCGCGCCAGCGCCGGCTGGGAATAGCCAGGGCACAGCTGGTCGTCAGACGGCTCCAACGCGAAACGTGTCGCCACGGACCCCCAGTAGCTGATCGACGGCTGGTCTCGCGGGAGGGAAAAACAGAAAAACTCGAGCCGAGAGCGCGGTGATGGCCGCTCCCGCAGAGCTGGCGTTTCTTTCCCCGTCGTTCTTCGGCGGCCCCCTGGGGCTGACATGGGCGGCCCCCGTTGGCAGAGATCGCGGGCATGGCCTATCCCCGAGAGGCTGGCGTTTCGTCCCGAGTCGATATTCGACGGCACGGAATGCACAAGCGGCCACGTCTGGTCGAGATCGCTGGCATGGCCGATCGGTCGGGGGCTGGCTCTTCATCCTGGGCCGTTTTTGGGCGGCCCCTGGAGCGTGAAAGAAGCACCCCCCCCGCAGGCCGAGTTCGCAGAAACGGCCGATCCTCCAGGGCTGGCGGGTCATCCTGAGTTGTTCCCCATATCCTAAGAGGTGGTTATTGTTATTACTCACACCGCGCCGATTCCTCCTCACCCTCACCTCCCTTATCCTCCTCCTCCTCCTCCTTCTCCTCCTCCTCCTCCTCCTCCTAGTCACACTCCGACTCACTCATACTCAGGCTCACGCGCACTCATATTCACTCAGACCCACTCATACTCAGACTCGCTCATACTCAAACTCACTCACGCTCAGACTCACTCACGCTCAGGCTGACTCACACTTATACGCACTCAGGCACGCTCATCACTCAGACCCGCTCATACTCACAGATTTTGAGGATGTCTCTGGCAATTTGCCTGTTGGGTTGCTCAACATCTCTCGCTTTCGGAGCAGTTCGGGAGGATGTCTCAGGCGAGGCGCTGGTTTGGGTACACCAAGGGGGGCGGCAGGGGGGTATGTCATGGCCCTGTTCGCGACCAGTGGAGGATGTCTCAAGCGAGGCGCTGGTTTAAGCACTCCAAATAGGGGGCGGCAGGAGGGTGCCTCAAGGGCTCGTTCTGTTAGGGATGTCTCAGGCGGTTTGCGTGTTTTGGATTGTACCATTCTTGCACTCTTTACTTTCGGAACAGATTTGGAGACTGTCCTAGGTGAGTCGATGGCTTCAGCACTCCAAAGGGTAGCTGACGGGGTAGATGATGTGATTCGAACATCGAGCCTCGAAGATCTAGGATTCAGGATTTTGGGGGGTTCTGAAACCATACTAATCGCTGCGGTTGGACGCGGGTCGGAAAACTGGTGCGTCTGGAGCCCGGGAGGAGTTCAGGAATTGAATTTGAACGGTGGTCGACGGTTTGTGTATTTTCGACCTTCTGAAGCTTGGTCATAGATCCTGAGCCTGGATGCCGTCTCCTGGCCCCGGGGACGTCAAGAGCTTGTTCCACGACTTCGGAAATCCGTTTTCTGGCCCCAGGGACGTCGGGAGTCGTCCCCGAAAGTGGAGGATGAGGGGGAAGAGCAGGAGGAAGATGAGGGGGCCGGGGAGGGAGGAGGAATCGAGATGAGGAGGAGGAGGAGGAGGAGGAGGAGGAGGAGGAGGAGGAGGAGAGCGGGTGGCTGGCGCCAGGGGGTCGAGGTTCGAGGCTCGAGGTTTGAGGTTCGACGATAAAGTTGTTGTTTGTGTTGTCCAGCCTTTTCGGCTGCCCTTTCACACTTCTGGTGAAACGCATCCCTGGATGCGCTCGGGGATTGTTCGGTGGAGAAGGAGGATGATGAGGGCGAGGCATCGCTGCTATTTTCAGCCTCTGGATGGCGCCTCGGAGCACGGTGCCATCGACATCGGCTCAGGCTACTACTGCCACGTCCGCCAGACGACGACGACGCCGACGCCGACTCCGACGCCGATGACGACGCCGATGACGACGACGACGACGACGACAACACGACGACGACGACGACGACCGCTGCAACGTCGGACGTGCTGGGCCTGCCGCCTGCCGACAATGCCCGACTGCCTCCCCGACAACAACCACGGCCACGGCCGCGGATATGGCCGCACATCTCTTGCCACCACCGCCACGACGGCCACTCGACGACGCCGACGACGACGGCGAAGACCACGACCCAGACGCCGAATCCGTCGACGACGACGACGACAGCTGCAGGGTCGGACGTGCTGGGCTTTGAGCCAGCCGACGATACCCGACGACGACCACGGCCTCGGCTATGGCCGCACTACTCTTGACACCACCGCCACGACCGCCATACGACGACGACGCCGACGACGACGAAGACCACGACCGACGACGACGACGACGACGACGACAACTACGACGACGACGCCGACGCCGACGCTGACGCCGTAGACGACGACGACGACGACGACCGCTGCAGCGTTGGACGTGCTGGGCCCGCCGCCTGCCTGCGATACCCGACGGATCCCCGACGACAGCCACGGCCACTGCCGCGGCAACGACGGCAACCGCGGCCACGGCCGCGACCGCGGCCACGGGCACGGCGTGCGTCGCCTCCACGGTGCCTCAGCACAGGCTTCTTCAGATCCAGGGGCTTCGGTCTACGGCCAACCAGTGGATTGAAGGCGCCGCGGCGACACCGCGGTGCGAACACACATGGGTGGCCGTCTCGACGGCGCGACGATACGTCGCCATGCTCAAACTCGCCTTTTTGGGGGCTTGCGCCAGGAGGCTCCACATCCTCCCTCCTTCTTCTTTCTCGGGGGCGTGTGGCTGGCTGGGGGGAGGCTCAGTGAACGCTGCGGGGTGGCTCGAGGGTGGCCTGGGTGCCGGCGGGAGAGTGGCCCAGGCGATGGCTGGGCAGAAACTGCTGGGTGGTTGGGTGGAGGGTGTCTTGGGGGTTGCTGGAGGGTGGCTGGTGGGGCGCTTGAGGTCGGGTGGGTATTCGGAGCTCCTTGGGTCGGGGGGCGTCTGGACGCTTTGGGGGAGCTGCTGTGGGACATGGAAGGCGGCGGGCAAATGGCTTGGGGAGGAGGGAGGGGGGTCCCCTAACCTCGTCCTGAGTGACCTGGGTTGCCCCCCTGGCCGCGCAGAGCGGTCAAGGGGGGGGGGCGACTGGGGCTGACGGCGGCGGCGGCGACGACGGCGACTCTGTGCAAGAGCGGCTGCAAGACTCCGCGCATGCCTCTGGTGCAAGACTCCGGCATGGCTCGGTGCAAGACTCAGGCGGCGGCGGCACCGTGCACGGCTCTGGTGCAAGACTGCCGCGCTTCGTTCTTGGATGTAACTGCCCTTCACGCGGGGCCTTGGCTTCGGGGTGTGGAGGACAACCAGCCGTGACGCAGCAACTCTGCGAAAGGCGTCCCCGTCGTCGTCAACGTCGACACCGCGGAACAACACTGCGGAGGGCGTCTCCTGGCTCAACACCACTACGGAAGGCGTGGCAGCTTTGGCGCAGCAACCCTGGCGCAACTGCTGTGCGGAATGCGTCTCTGGGCATAACAGTACTGCTGGAAGTGCCATCTGGCGCAGTAAAATCACTGGGGAAAGCTTCTCTTCCTCCTTCTCCTCTTCCTTCTTCTCCGGGTGGACTGTCTCTTTTGGGGATGTGCTCTGGCATGTATCCAGAAGGAAGAAACGTTCCTCTCGGGTCGTGATTCGGAGCGTATCCAAAGAGACGGGCTCTCTTCCAGGTCGTGCGCGGGCGTGTATCTGGAGGGAAGATCCGTTCCCCTATGGTCGTGCTTCGGCGCGTATCCAGGGGAACGGGCTTTCCTCTGGGTTGTGCTTCGCTTGTGTGAAACGCCGGATCGAAGAACTGTTCCCCTCTGGTTGTGCTCCAGGGAGACGGGCTCCCCTCAGGGTCGTGCGCTGGCGTGCATCCAGAGCAAAGGACAATTTTCCCTTGGGTCGTGCTTCGGCACATATCCAGGGAGACAGCCTTTCCTCCGTGTAGTGCTCCGGCTCGATCGGTCTCGGATCATTCAACATCAAGCTCGCTCGCACTCAGATTCCCTCAAATTCAAAATCACGCGCACCAAGACTTCCGACTCACTCGTACTCAAACTTTCAGACTGTGGAGATGTCTCGAGCGAACGGCTTGCTCTCGCACACAGGCCCTCATTGACAGATGCCCATCAAAAAACGTCCAGGAAAATGAGATGCACATCTGGGGATCCCAGCGTCGAGTCATTTTCCGGCGGCCCATGGGAACTGAAAGCTGCCCCCACTGGCCGAAACGGCCGATCGTTTGGGGGCTGGCGTTTCATCTTGGGTTGTTTCGGCGGACCCTAGGAACCGAAAGCAACCCCCGCTGGACGAGATCACGGAAATGGTCAATCAACAGGGGGCTGGCGCTCATCCTGAAGGAACGACGGCCCTTGCAACCGAACGCGGCCGAGATCGTGGCCTAAACTGCAACAAATGAGAACACCACGACGACTGGGGCTGGCATTTCTCACGGGCACACGCCAACAGGGACTAGGCATCCGTAGATCTGGCGCGTGGGCGCCAGATCCACGCCTCGGGGACGGTACCCCCCCCGCTGTGGTAGGGAAACGCAGCCCGCCGCTGATTCACGCGCGTGAGTAGAGTCTACCCGCATCATAAGGACGCGCCATGAGGATGCAAGGGCCTTGGAAGCCAAGTTCGAAGCTTTTCGAGCGGGGCGCGGCCAACGAAAGAGGCCAATGATGGACCGAGGAGGCAAGGATGCAAGGGTACCCGTGGAAAGGTCGCCCATCCCAGCTACGCGAGTGAACTGTAGTACATGTCTGCGCTTCCTCGAGAAAGCTGCCCTCGCTGGCCGAAACCACGGAAGCAGCCGATTCCCCCAAGGCGGACTGCTCAGCCTGAGTGAGCGACGACCCAGGTGGACCCGAACGTGTCCCCTGGCACTGTCGAGACCGCTGGCGCCAAGTGGCAACTCCCACCAGCCCTTTGGGCGACAGGTGGTTTAACGATGTATTTCTTCCCTCTTCCAAAACCTCCTTTTCCCCTTCGGGAATGGGTTTATCACTGTTCCGTACTGCTATACACCCCCCCAAGCGACTGGGAGCCAACCCGAGTCAATGAGGGCACTCCCCCCCGCCATCCCATGTAAAATACAAAACGCACTCTGCCTCCAAATTCAGGGCACGCGCAGCGAACCCGATGCGGCCTCCCCCCACCATCCCTGTCAAAAAAAACAATACAGAATACACTTGGCGGCGGCGGCGGTGGCGGCAGCGGTGGCGGCGGCGGCGCGGGCGGCAGCGGCGGCGGCGGCGGTGGCGACGGCAGGCGGCGCGGTGGCGGCGGCGGCGGCGGCGGACGGCGGCGGAGGCGGCGGCGGCGGCTTGGCCCCCAGTAATTGCCCATCCAAAGACGGCTGCTGCATATGCTGCGGCTCGGGCCAGGCTCGGGTGCTACGTGTGTGTGTTGGGAAGGCGGGTGGAAGTGAGCGAGACGGCTTGCGGGCGGGGAGGGGGTCTTGACCCCTCCCCCTTACCCCCTCCCCTGGACCTGGACGGGGGCGGTCGCGAGCGGTCAGAGGGTGCCGTTTCGGCTCCTGCGAGGGCCAATTTGCAACACCCCTCACGAGGATCGTGGCCCCCGAGGGGGGGACCCACATAAGGAAGCCCCCTCTTCTGATCGATTAACCTCCCAAGGTGGTTCCAAGAGGCACTCCAGGGCTCCCGAGAGGCCCCCAACAGGGCCCGAAGAGCGCCCCAAGAAGCCCCGAGATGCCTCCAAAAGGCAGCCGAGAGGTCCCCAAGATGCCCCCGAGCAGCCTCAAAGACCGCAGGATTGCCTCCAAGATGGCCCAAATAGCCCAAGCTCGCTCAAGATGGCTCCAAAATGCTCCAAACTGCCCCAATACCGTTCTAAGACGGCTCGAGATGGCCACGGAGCCTCCCAAGCCTCCCTCTCTGTTTGACTATGCGTGTCTTTTTTTTCTCTCCCTCAATCAGCTCTCATAGGCATCGCTTCTGGATGGGCTAGATGGTTCCATGAATCCTCGTCCGCGTCGTCCTCATTATAGTCCTTGTCCGCCTCGTCCTCGTCCTCATCCGCGTACTCGTCCTCCTCGTCCTCCTCGTCCTCCTTGTCCTCCTCGTCCTCCTCGTCCTCGTCCTCGTCCTCGTCCTCGTCCTCGTCCTCCTCCTCCTCCTCCTCCTCCTCCTCCCGTCGCTCCCACGCGGCCCCCAGAGATGGTCCGAAGAGGCCTTCCAAGGCCACCCCCTTGTTCCCAGAGATCTCTCGGTTCACCCTGGTTGCTCGCTTTGTTTCCCATGATGTGTCTCTTCGTCCCCTTTCCCGCCAGCTCTTATGCGCAGGGCTTCTGAATGGTCTGGTGGGGATATTTTTTTCAACAGGCTTGTGAAGCGGGTCGAAAGCCGTCCGAACACAAGTCGGGCCGCGACTAGGCAGCAGGAAAAGAAAGGCTAGCGAAGCGAGCGAGCGGGCAAAAACGCGAAGCTTGATACGCGAAGCGTGACCGCGACGCCTGGAGCTGGATTCTCATGTTGGCGGCGCGCACAGGGGGGTGGAGGGTTAGGCCTTACAGCTATAGATAAGGCCCGCGCCTTCTAAGAAGCAGGGGTGCTTCCAAGAAGCCCTCCCCCCACCCCCTACCCCCCTTCTGCGCGTGGCTGACCATTCCTGGCACTCTTCCGGCAACCCTGGGGTCCAAGCGCGGCACCGTGCAGGCCGAACTCACGGACAGACGCGGGACGTATCAGCGGCAAAAGAAGCCGCTTGAATACGCCTCGGGGATGGTGGGTTGCTCGGCCGGCCGCTCCTGGCTGGCTCCTGGCGGGCTCCTGGCGGGCTCCTGGCTGTTCCGGCCGCCCTGGACCAGATGCTGCGCTGCGCTGCCCCTCGTCCTCCCAGTCGTTCCATCCTCGGGCGTTCGTGAACGGATGGGAATCACAACGGGAGAGGGGGGGGAGGAACCTGCGACCTTCCAGCACCTTTTGGGCCCGCGCTTGCAAGTTAGAGGAAGGGCCACGCTCCTGAAGTTCTCGACCACCCCCCCTAGTGGCCGTCTAGAGCCACTGTCCTGCAATCCTCGACGCCCCCACCCACTTATCCTCCTCCCCTCCCCTCCTGTCAGCTGGAAGATCCAGCCCGTGTCGGGGATCTACTGACCCGGATCAATCCAGACCCGGGTCAAAAGGCAGGATCCTGCAACCAAGCCCGGGTGCCCAGTGCGACAGTGGCCATGAAGGATCCTGCAAGATCGAGCGCTCTGGCTGACCCCTGTGTGCATTGACCCACGTGTCTTGAACCCCGACCGTGGATGGCCGACTCGCGCCCCGGGCCGCCTTTCATAGAGGAGCCCCGAACAGCACACGCAACCACAAACTGCCGCCAGGCAGTCCGCGCAGGATCCTCGGATCGGCGCAGGACCCAGAGCGCGACGGGGACGGCGCTGGAATCGCCCCCCAGGAGGGCCAACCGACGATCCAAGAAATCCGCGCGCATCGCCGAAAGTTTACGTTCCTGTAGCTTGCTCCCTTCCTCGGCTTGATCAGTCTCACGACTGCGCGGCGCCCCGCGGTGGCCTCGGAACGAGTGGCCGAGGTTCTCCGCCTGGACCACCCCCGCTGGCGTGATGATGCCGCCGTACTTGAGCACCAGCTGCAGCGCCTCGGGAGGGGGCCCGACCGGCGGCGCGCAACAAAAGGTGGTCGTCGACGTCGGCGGTGATGCGTGCCGGCCGGGAGGCCTCTTGGGGCGCTTCTGAAGGCTCTCGCCGCCACGGCCCGGCGTGGGGCGCACCTACAACGCTGCCGACGCGCTGCCAGAAGGAACGCCGAAGAAGGAAGGAAGGAAGGGGCGTTCCTGAGCACGGCGAGCCTCGGCCACGAATAGACTCCCCGACCTAGATCTCGGGAACGGCCCACAAAACCCGAGCCCCTCCAGAGCCCAAAGTTGTCCTGATTCCAGCGCTGTGCTCGCATGCTGGGGACTCCTGCGAGGCCCTCGCCGCCACGGCTGGAGCCGCCTCGAAATCCTCGCCAGCACGGGCTCCGAGAGCTGCCCTGGCCGGAGTTCCGGCACCGACCCCCGTCGTGGCGACTCTGGGCGCCCTGGGAGCCCCAGCAATTGCCAGGGACGTCCGCAAACTTCGTCCTCGCGCCTCCTCGCTCCTCCTCGGTCCTTGGTCCTCCTCGATGCTCGATCCTCCCCAACCAGTCCTCGATCCTCCTCGATCCTCCTCGCTCCTCCTCGCTCCTCCTCGCTCCTCCTGGCTCCTCCTCGCTCCTCGGTCCTCCTAGACCCTCGATCCTCCTCGACAGACCCTCGATCCTCCTCGACCCTGGGCCTCCGAGGGGCTCCGGACTGCCGCTGGACAGAACCTTCGGATCCCCCCCCGCGGCCCCGGGAGGCAGCCTGCCCCGGGGGCGCGGCGCACGGCGCCCGCGAGCGACCGAGGCCATGCTGCTCACGCGAGAGCCCTCCATGGAGAACCGGGAGGCCTGCGGCCGACCCGTACCGTCGAGAACGCTGTGCTCACAGCGCGTCGCGCCGTCGGCTGTGCGTCGCACCACGCTTCGGCGCGACACGCAGACCGCGTCCCCTCTCCCAGGCGTCAACGTCTCGAGCCCCTTCCCAGCCTCCTGCCCCGCGGAGCGGAGCGACACGCCAGCCGCTCGCAATGCCTGGCGCGTCTCTGGGGCTGCCGCCGTGACACGCCAAGGACAAATTCCTCCGCTTCGACCCTCATTCTGGGAATCTTCCTGGAGCCACTCGCTCCACTCAAGCGTCGATGCTGCGTTGAGCGTCCGTCGACTTGAGTCGACCTGAGTCGAGCTGGAGTCGAACTGGAGCCAAGCTGGATTCGAACTAAAAGTGAATCTGATTCGAACCAGAATCGAACAGATCGTGGCCCCCAAGGACGGACCCGAAAATGAACACATGAGCTGACGAACCTCCTGTCACATGCGCGAGATCTGCGGAAAACCTCCGAGAGGTCCCTGCGGAGCCCCAGGGGAAGCTGATGGCAGCGCCCTTGAGGCCCCTGGCCTCGAAGGCCCAAAAAAAGAGACTAGGAGGGACTCGATGTATACACCATGTCGCTTGATCGGCCAAAAGCTCAGTGTATAGACGTCCCAGCTTCCCAACTTGTGGGACGCTCGAGCTTCTATAGACCGAATGCCTTCGCCGAATTCATTGGCTCCTTCGGCGACCAAACGACGTGGTGTATACATCGAGCCCCTCTAAACGGCTGAAAACTTCTTGCTAATCTCCATCACATTCCCAACAATCCCGGCATTGCTATAGGCCTGCCACGTCATGCTCTTAGCACGGAGGAACTTCCTACGAACACGAATATTTCCCGCTTATCATAAAGCCGATGTGTTGAACCAGGACTATCTCAGTCAGAGACTTCCTGAGAAGTGCGCACCACAGAAACGGTCATCATAACAATATTTGTTGGGACTGCAGGGTAGTCCGGACGCTTCGCCGCCGCTGGCAAGGGCGACCACCTTCTCCGCCCCCCGCCGAAACAAAGCATCCACCAACTCACCGAAGGGCCCGCCGCCGAGCGGCCGCTAGCAGCGCGCCTGCACGCTGCCGTCCTCGTGCCAAGCCGTCGGCTTGAGCTGCACCTCCCGACCCCGTCCACCGTCCACCCCTGATGCGACCCAGCGAAGAAAAAACAAATCGGGCAAGGACGGTTCGACATAACATCATTTTCGTCTGGGTCGCTGGCCGCGACGGCGACGACGACGAACTGGGAATACATGTTTGATCTTCCTCTTCCCCGTGGGGCGCCGCGACCCCCGGACATCCCCCTTCGCTAGGTCACATGAATTACCTTCTGTCTCCCTCCGCTCCTTGATGCCCACCCCCCCACAGAGCACCGCTATGATCCCAGCAGCGCCACTCCTCGAAACATGCCCAAGGCTGCCTGCAGCCCACCCCTCACGACCTTCCCGTGAGCGCTTCTCAACAGGCCCCATCACAACCACACAACAAACCCAACCTCTCCACTCCCGCTCTCTTGACCCACCTCTTCATCCTTCTTCTCCCAACTTCCCCTCCCCCCCATCCTCCTCCTCCTCCTCCTCCTCCTTCCGCGCCTCCTTCTCCTCCACCTCCCTCAAGGCTTCGCTACAAGGCTTCAAACTGACATGCGACAAGTTCGACATTAGCTTTCTCTAACTATTTTGGTCCTTAACGGATCTGAGATGCTTCCTTGTTGGGGTCAGGCCAGAATTGGAGCCAAACTGTCGATGCTGCCATAACCTAACTTCCGATAATGATCATCACGGTGAAACGCTCACACAAAGCCGGCTCTGCATGTTGCAAGATCTTCACTCCCAATCCTGAATTGATTATCCGGGTGCAGCCCTTACAACCAACCGTCTCTCCGTGTTGCCAACACCCCAGCTCCAGGCCTCATTCCGATCATCAGAGAATCTGGGTGCAAACCTTGCCGCCAGCCAATTCGTCGTGTTGCCATACGTAACGAATTCCACTCCCAAGACTGGAGCTTAGCATCTGGAGCCAACCCTTCAGCTTTTGCTGCTGTTCGTGTTGCCAGAACTCCTCTCCTGGGCCTGACCTTCAGCGTCCAGAACCATACCGCCAGCGTTTGGTGCTGTCCTTGCTGCCAAATCTCCAATTCTGGAGACTGATCCTGAGCGTCCAGAGCCACCCTTGTAGCTTGTTGGAACACGGCCCCTTGGAGGCCAGGACCGCGAAGCGGTGCCCGCCGATATGTTTTCGCAATGCCTCGGGGCCCGGTTTCTCCTCCCCCACATCTTATATAGTATCTATATAGATTATATATGTGTGGAACAGACGCACACCCACACACACTTTGGGCGGTCCGCGTGGTTTTTCGGGGCCGGCGCTGGCCCCCCTGGTTCTGCCACTCCCTGGGAGCCGTGCGGCATGTCGCGGTGCCCTCGGGGCCAAGATCAATCAATATCGAACTGAGAAATCGGATTGAATCGAAATGCATGCTGGATCGGGCTGCATCGGCACGGAAACGGAATCGACTTGATTCGGCCGCGCCATCATATATCGGGTCTGCGGCGGCTGTTCGGGACGATACGCTCTCGACGAGGTACGGCTGTCGGCACGCAGAAATATCAGCAGGAAGCGGCGACAACGTCCAAAACCCCATGATGGCAGTCTCGAAATCGGGTCCGACGAAAGATGGGGTTGGTGGTCCGTGCAGGGGGGAGTTAGCGAATCAGCTCACGTAGCCTCCCTGCGCCAGAGGCGACAATGTATAGAGGACGGCGCCTGGCGGCTGGCGGCAGGGCCGAGACCAGCCTCATGCAACAGAGTCCGTACGGCGGGTTCGTGTCGTGACACCCCCAGCATTGGCTCCTGACACTGCGCGGACCGTTCCAACTTGACGGCGGCTTTACGATCGCCCGATCGCTCCGCATTGGTCGATTCCGGGCCACCTGTGGCGCTCAACCTTGAAGGCCCGCGCTGGGGTCGCCCGCGACGACACGTTTCGGACCTGCCTTCCCCGCCCCCCCCCTTGCCCCATCTCCCCTTCCGCCCGCCCCGGTCCTAGTTCTACCACTCCCTGGGAGCCTTGCGGTATATCCCATCGAAATGCCCGCCAGTCTCGAGCACGGCCTTTATCAGCTGCACGGCCTCCGCCTTCGGGTCGCTGCGCGGCCTCCTCCTCCTCCTCCTCCTCCTCCTCCTGCTCCTCCTCCTCCTCCTCGCGCTCCTAATCTTACTCGTCTGCCTCCTCGTGCTCGTTTCGTACTCCTTTTCTCAGCTCAGAGAGAAGAGCTACTCCACCTCCCCCCTTCCAACCCCCTTCGCACGGCCGCCAAAAGCACACCCAGGGCTTGGCCGCGGGCTCCTCCAACAAAACCCGCGTGGATCCCCACGACAAAGGTGCCACACCCATATGGGGGAGGCGGTGGAGAGAGAAAGGAGACCACTGAGGATTAACCCTCATCATAGAACTTCGGCACCCTACAACGCCTACGACGGGGGGGCGCCAGCGACAGGGCCTTTCGGCGCTTGCGAAGCCAGCTGCACCTTGCATCTGAAGGCCAGAAGAGCACGAGGAGGAGGAGAAGGAGGAGGAGGAGGAGAGGAGAGGTATAGTGAAATGGAATGAAGATTGGAAGAGGGTTTTGAGACCCCCCCGGCAGCACAAATTAGGGGGCACCAGAGAGGACGCCGACGGGCACCGCGGACACCTGGAGGGGCACCTGCCCCCACTTGCCGCCCCTGCCCTTCATGCCGCTCTTGACCTTCCCCACGAGATGGTTGCAGATGAGGAGGAGAGGAGCGAGACGGGGAGTACGACTATGACTCATGACCAGAATTGAGCGCAGAAACGTCGGTCTCGATCTTGGTTTTCGTCCATCTTGGTCACCGTCGACTCGTGGGTCATCCTCGCAAATTGGCGACGGCCAGCATGGGTCATGACCAAAATCGGCGTGAACAAGATCCCGCGGAATCTTGGCTATGGTCATCGTTCGACGGCGCGCCCGGGGGGAAGCGAGAGGGAGCAGGCCGTATCAGAAGGCGGCGGGGCTTCTCAGAATGCAGGAGGCCCTCCGAACCTTCTTAGAAGGCCTACCCCTCTGCATTCCTTCCTGTCGCCGCCGAACCAACTTCGGCGTGCGAAAGTTCCAGCGGCATCGTAGCCACGGTCACCGCTCCCTTCGTAGCCATCGTAGCCTCGAGAGCTGGCCCGGCTCCGCCCTGCGGCCGAGGCGAGGCCGTGCCCGTGCTCGGAGGCCCAGGGGGTGCCCGCACCGCCTCTGCTCGTCGCCGTTGTCGTCGCTGTTTGACGTCCGTCATCGCTCGTCGTTCGTCGCAGACGCCCTCCGATGCGATTGTTTCAATCAGCGGCCCCAGCAGGGGTCCCGACCCCTTCCTCGCAGCTGATCGCACGGCCCGGGTCCGTGTGTGATGGTCCCAGCCCGATACCGGGATCCCGAGGCCGAAAGCGAGGAAAGCACCGGGATTGAAACAATCCGATCGCCGAGACTAAACCTCGATGACGAAGGCGATGACCTGCAGCATGCTGTAGCACTCTTTACATACGTTGCGTGAAGTGCCTGGTGCCTTGGCGTCCTAGTTATTCTTCTGTGTTCGCCCGCGTATTTCGGCGTTTGGCTTGCAGTGGCGTAGCGTCGAGAACTGGTCGTCGTCGTCTGTCGTCGCTTGTCGTCTGTGCCTTTGCCGCCTCTCGCCGTGGGCCACCGCTGTCCCGCGGCGGAGCAGCCCGCGCCTCCTGCTCGTCCAGCGAGATCTGGCGGCCCATCCCAAGGTTGCTAGCGGCGGTGTCGCCGTCGGAGGTCTTGCACGCGGTCGTCGTCGTCGTCGTCGTCGTCGTCGTCGTCGTCGTCGTCGTCGTCGTCGTCGTCGTCGCCGTCGTCGTCGCCGTCGTCGTCGTCGTCGTCGACGTCGTCGTCGGGGGGTACGGGGTGAGCAGTGAAGGGCAACGTTTTGGGGGGATGGCTTAGCTCGGGGGGACGGGGACACCTCGACCTGGGATCGGCGATACATCGCCGACAGAAGGGAGATAGGCCCCTGAGAGCGAGTCCGCACCTTCCTAAGCCGGCTGGGCCGTCGTGGCCCTGTCGGCGATCAATGGGCGCTGGGAAGTCGATGCGTCTCCCCCTGAGCCTATTCTCCCCCAGCGTTTCGGCGACTCCGAAGGGTATGGTTTGCCAAGGGTGTGGTTTGTAACTGGCACCCTGGGGGGCACCCTGGGGGGCGGGCAGGGACCCTGACAGAGCTCTCCGCCGCGCTCCGAGAAGGCCCGACGAGGACAGTGTCGTGCCCCCCAGGTCCCGACGTAACCTCACCCTTTGTAGACGCCGAACGTTGCCCTTGATGAGATCTCTGGTCCCGGGCGGGGATCCCCTCGGCCCCTTCCTGGGCACTTGTTCCCAGCCCCTGTTCGGTTTTGGCTGCTGGCCCCAGGGACTGAAAACAGCGCCCAGAGGCTGAAAATTATAAGAAGCCGCCGCCTTGCTTGTTCAGGGCATTGGATGCCCTGGCTTGGCTCACGGACCAAACTCCACCCAACAACTCGGCCAACCTTTCGAGCCACATCCAACTGGTGGCCACGAGGTCCTCCCAGGAAATTTAAACAACGCGAAAAATCAGAGTGAGGCGGCCGTGCGGTCTTACACCATCACTGGGTGCGTGCCTGAACTGGGCTTCCGCGGTGCGTTTTCTCGTTGAACCCTCAGAAATGTTGTTGATCCCCCTCTGGTGCACCCGTCAATTGAAGTGCCCCTCCCGGGGCTCGCATCCTGGCTTTTTCAAAGAAAGCCTTGGGCCTCAGAAAATAGCAGCTCCCGCCTGATACTTGCTCACATGCTTTCAAAGTCGCACTCTCGCGCGGGACTTCCTCACAACTTATGCAGGAATCGCGCTCCCGCGCAGGACGTTCTCGCAATGTATTGGAACGCCGCGCCCCCGACACTCTAGAGTCATCCTCCCGCTCTGGACTTCCTCACGACTCACTTGGGACCCGCGCTATCGCTCAAGACTTCCTCCCGATTCATGCAGGACTGACGCTTCAGCGACCCGCCCTCTCGACCTGGCCGTCTGGGCCCGACCGCCCGACCCGCCCGTTCGGGCCCGCCCGCCCGACCCGCCCGTCTGGGTTCTGCCGCTTGTTTATCCTGCTCCGAACCCACCTCCTGCTAATCTCTCTCGTACTCCACCCCTCTCCCTCTCCCTGGTCCCTTCCCTCCTTCCCCACCCTTCACCTGTTTAAGGGGTTGCGTCAACAACGCGCGGAAGGTCAGAAGACTAGATGCCCAAGGGGGTGCGATCGAAGACGACGAGGGCGGTAATAAAGGGTTCGGGATCTCGGGATCGACATGTTGAGGGTCACGTGGGCTGATCAGAGCGAAGAGACTTTAAATGATTGTTGTGCTGTCGTCGTCGTCGTCGTCAACTTCGTTGTCGTCGTTCTCGCCTTCGAGCCGCCCGCGACCCACCCACGTTGCTTTGACAAACACTCGGCGACAACGGCGGGCACTGTGCAATGCACCGGAAGAACCAAGGCGCCTGCGGCCGGCTTCTGACCCCAATGTGTTCGAGCCTCGCAGACTGCCGACAAACCAGCGGCCCCATGGCTCTTGTCCGAAACTGCGGGGGCGATGGCGTCCATGGCCCTGTGGACGCGCGGGCTCTGATAAACCAGAACATTGGCGCGTCCGACAGAACTGAAGCAGCGGGTCGAGACATCCCCCATTCTCCGTTGCTTATTCCGATTGGAATAGTTTCCCCGGAGGGCCTGACATGAAAACCGCTGGGGCCTCCATACCACATGCGGCGGGCGCCGCTGGCTGGGCCCTCCTCTCAGCAAGGGGGGGAGCGCGGAAGGCGTCCGAACAGCGCATACACCTTCGAGCAGAGGGGATGAAGAGGAAAAGGGAAGACAGGAGAAGAGGAGTGGGAGAAGAAGGAGGCAAAACAGTTGTAGCCGTAGTGGTGGATGTGAAAGCAGCAGTCGCCGTAGTAGTAGTAGTAGTAGTAGTAGTAGTAGTACTACTACTACTACTACTTCTACTCCTACTCCTACTCCTACTCCTACTCCTACTCCTACTCCTACTACTACTACTACTACTACTACTACTACTACTACCACTAGTGGTAGTAGTAGTGGTAGTCATCGTCGTCGTCGTCGTAGTTCTAGGAGCAGTAGAAGTAGTAATCCTAGTAGTAGTAGTAGTAGTAGTAGTAGTAGTAGTAGTAGTGGTGGTGGTGGTAGTAGTAGTAGTAGTAGTAGTAGTAGTGGTAGTAATACTCGTAGTGGTAGTAGTAGTAGTAGTAGTAGTAGTAGTAGTAGTAGTAGTAGTAGTAGTAGTAGTAGTAGTAGTAGTAGTAGTAGTAGTAGTAGTAGTAGTAGTAGTAGTAGTAGTAGTAGTAGTAGTAGTAGTAGTAGTAGTAGTAGTAGTAGTAGTAGTAGTAGTAGTAGTAGTAGTAGTAGTAGTAGTGTAGTAGAAGTAGTAGTAGTAATAGTAGTAGTAGTAGTAGTAGTAGTAGTAGTAGTAGGAGTAGTACTAGTAGTAGTGGTAGTAGAAGTAGAAGTAGTACGTAGTAGTAGTAGTAGTAGTAGTAGTAGTTAGTAGTAGTAGTAGTAGTAGTAGTAGTAGTAGTAGTAGTAGTAGTAGTAGTAGTAGTAGTAGCAGCAGCAGTAGTAGTAGTAGTAGTAGTAGTAGTAGTAGTAGTAGTAGTAGTAGTAGTAGTAGTAGTAGTAGTAGTAGTAGTAGTAGTAGTAGTAGTAGTAGTAGTGGTAGTAGTAGTAGTAGTAGTAGTAGTAGTAGTATTACTAGTAGTACTGGTAGTAGGAGTAGTAGAAGTCGAAGTAATAGTAGTAGTAGTAGTAATAGTAGTAGTAGTAGTAGTAGTAGTAGTAGTAGTAGTAGTAGTAGTAGTAGTAGTAGTAGTAGTAGACCTACTAGTCGTAACCGTCATCGTACGAATTAGTAGTTCCGATAGTCGTAGTAGTCGTAGTAGTAGTCGCAGTAGCCGTAGCAGTACTACTACTAGTAGTAACGGTAGTCGTGTGAGTATTGCTCTCATTGCTACCAAAAAAGTAGCCTGGCGAAGGACCCAACCATATGCAGTTGTGAGTAATGCTGGTGTGAGTACCGTCTTCGGTGGATCTCCCTATGGGGCCACGAACCGTTTGAAGAGTGTGCCGAAATGGGTGTGTGGGGCGGCATGCGAACGTTGCACTGGGGCCTTCGGTGAGGTTCCTTATGGGGCCACGAAACGTGTGAGGGGTGCACCGAAGTTGGTGTGGGGGCGGCATGCGAACGCAGCCACTGGGGCCGTCGGTGGAGTTCCCTGTGGGGCCACGAAACGTGTGAGGGGTGTGCCGAAATTGGCGGGGGGGCGGCATGCGAACGCAACCACTGGGGCCTTCGGTGGAGCTCCCTATGGTGCCACGAAACGTGTGAGGGGTGTGCCGAAATGGGTGCGGGGGCGCATGCGAACCCAGTCACTGGGGCCTTCAGTGGAAATCCCCGTGGGGGCACGAAACGTGTGAGGGATGTGCCGAAATGGGTGTTTGGGAGGCATACGAACCATGCCACTGGGGCCTTCGGTGGAGCTCCCTATGGGGCCACGAAACGTGTGAGGGGTGTGCCGAAGTGGGTGGTGGGGAGGCATGCGGGCCCTGCCACTGGGGCCTTCGGTGGAGCTCCCTATGGGCCACGAAACGTGTGAGGGGTGTGCCGAAATGGGTGGTGCCACTGGGGCCTTCGGTGGAGCTCCCTATGGGGCCACGAAACGTGTGAGGGGTGTGCCGAAATGGGTGGTGGGGAGGCATGCGGACCCTGCCACTGGGGCCTTCGGTGGAGCTCCCTATGGGGCCACGAAACGTGTGAGGGGTGTGCCGAAATGGGTGGTGGGGAGGCATGCGGACCCTGCCACTGGGGCCTTCGGTGGAGCTCCCTATGGGGCCACGAAACGTGTGAGGGGTGTGCCGAAATGGGTGGTGGGGAGGCATGCGGACCCTGCCACTGGGGCCTTCGGTGGAGCTCCCTATGGGGCCACGAAACGTGTGAGGGGTGTGCCGAATGGGTGGTGGGGAGGCATGCGAAACTGGGGCCTTCGGTGGAGCTCCCTATGGGGCCACGAAGCGTGTGAGGGTGTGCCGAAATGGGTGGTGGGGAGGCATGCGGACCCTGCCACTGGGGCCTTCGGTGGAGCTCCCTATGGGGCCACGAAACGTGTGAGGGGTGTGCCGAAATGGGTGGTGGGGAGGCATGCGGACCCTGCCACTGTGGCCTTCGGTGGAGCTCCCTATGGGGCCACGAAACGTGCGGGGGGTGTGCCGAAATGCGTGGTGGGGAGGCATGCGGACAATGCCACTGGGGCCTTCGGTGGAGCTCCCTATGGGGCCACGAAACGTATGAAGGGTGTGCCGACATGGGTGGTGGGGAGGCATGCGGACCCTGCCACTGGGGCCTTCGGTGGAGCTCCCTATGGGGCCACGAAGCGTGTGACGGGCGTGGCGATACCGGTGGTGATGATGATGATGATGATGATTTTTTTGTCCACAAGGCTTGTCAGATAACATCTGGTTGAGCACGCCGAAGAACTCTGCGCTGGCGCGCCGCCGCGTTGCGCGCGGAGAACGGGATTTGGGGTGCCACCCGTTGCAACAGCAACGGAGGCTCGGGGGGGGGGGCGGAAACGCGAAGTGGCTAGGTCCACGCCGCGCGGCGCGAGGACCTATAAGGTAGCCGCGCGTTCAACGCTCAGCCCAGTCGGGGGCGACTGGACGAAATCACAAGCACCATTGGCACCTGAGCCCTGAGCCCC